TTCGGCTCATCGAGAAGCAGTAGCACATTCGAAAAAATCAGAGGTCAAGGTCATAGGTCAAGGTCAAGGTCACTTTAAACGTTAATTTTAGTCCCCGTAACCTGTAGAATCTTTGTTTATGGTCCGATTTGAAAATTTCGGCCACCACTGTGTTCGTCTCATCGAGAAGCAGTAGCACATTCGAAAAAATCCGAGGTCAAGGTCATAGGTCAAGGTCAAGGTCACTTTAAACGTTAATTTTAGTCCCCGTACCCTGTAGAATCTTTGTTTATGGTCTGATTTGAAAATTTCGGCCACCACTGTGTTCGTCTCATCGAGAAGCAGTAGCACATTCGAAAAAATCCGAGGTCAAGGTCATAGGTCAAGGTCAAGGTCACTTTAAACGTTAATTTTAGTCCCCGTACCCTATAAAATCTTTATTTTTGGAGCTATGACCTCGGATTTTTTTGAATGTGCTACTGCTTCTCGATGAGACGAACACAGTGGTGGCCGAAATTTTCAAATCGGACCATAAACAAAGATTCTACAGGGTACGGGGACTAAAATTAACGTTTAAATTGACATTGACCTTGACCTATGACTTGACCTCGGATTTTTTCGAATGTGCTACTGCTTCTCGATGAGCCGAACACAGTGGTGGCCGAAATTTTCAAATCGGACCATAAACAAAGATTCTACAGGGTACGGGGACTAAAATTAACGTTTAAAGTGACCTTGACCTTGACATATGACCTTGACCTCGGATTTTTTTAATGTGCTACTGCTTCTCGATGAGACGAACACAGTGGTGGCCGAAATTTTGAAATCGGACCATAAACAAAGATTCTACAGGGTACGGGGACTAAAATTAACGTTTAAAGTGACCTTGACCTTGACCTATGACCTTGACCTCGGATTTTTTCGAATGTGCTACTGCTTCTCGATGAGACGAACACAGTGGTGGCCGAAATTTTCAAATCGGACCATAAACAAAGATTCTACAGGGTACGGGGACTAAAATTAATGTTTAAAGTGACCTTGACCTTGACCTATGACCTTGACCTCGGATTTTTTCGAATGTGCTACTGCTTCTCGATGAGACGAACACAGTGGTGGCCGCAATTTTCAAATCGGACCATAAACAAAGATTCTACAGGGTACGGGGACTAAAATTAACGTTTAAAGTGACTTTGACCTTGACCTATGACCTTGACCTCGGATTTTTTCAAATGTGCTACTGCTTCTCGATGAGACGAACACAGTGGTGGCCGAAATTTTCAAATCGGACCATAAACAAAGATTCTACAGGGTACGGGGACTAAAATTAACGTTCAAAGTGACCTTGACCTTGACCTATGACCTTTACCTCGGATTTTTTCAAATGTGCTACTGCTTCTCGATGTGACGAACACAGTGGTGGCCGAAATTTTCAAATCGGACCATAAACAAAGATTCTACAGGGTACGGGGACTAAAATTAACGTTTAAGGTGACCTTGACCTTGACCTATGACCTTGACCTCAGATTTTTTTCGAATGTGCTACTGCTTTTCGATGAGACGAACACAGTGGTGGCCGAAATTTTCAAATCGGATCATAAACAAAGATTCTACAGGGTACGGGGACTAAAATTAACGTTTAAAGTGACCTTGACCTTGACCTATGACTTTGACCTCGGATTTTTTCCAATGTGCTACTGCTTCTCGATGAGACGAACACAGTGGTGGCCGAAATTTTCAAATCGGACCATAAACAAAGATTCTACAGGGTACGGGGACTAAAATTAACGTTTAAAGTGACCTTGACCTTGACCTATGACCTTGACCTCAGATTTTTTCCAATGTGCTACTGCTTCTCGATGAGACAAACACAGTGGTGGCCGAAATTTCTTAATCGGACCATAAACAAAGATTCTACAGGGTACGGGGACTAAAATTAACGTTTAAAGTGACCTTGACCTTGACCTATGACCTTGACCTCGGATTTTTTCGAATGTGCTACTGCTTCTCAATGAGACGAACACAGTGGTGGCCGAAATTTTCCGATAGCTCCAAAAATGAAGATTTTATAGGGTACGGCGATTTTTAAATTGACCTTGACCTTGACCTATGACCTTGACCTCGGATTTTTTTTAAATGTGCTACTGCTTCTCGATGAGACGAACACACTGGTGGTCGAATTTTTCAAATCGGACCATAAACAAAGATTCTACAGGGTACGCAGTATTTTGACCTCTCAAGGTCAAACGGTTTGACCTAGGAAAAAAAGGTCACCATTTTCGAACTCAGCGTGCCATGGGCTATCTGTATGCAAATTTTGAGCGAAATCATTACTCGAATTTGAATCCGAATTTTAACGTTTAAAGTGACCTTGACCTTGACCTATGACCTTGACCTCGGATTTTTTCAAATGTGCTACTGCTTCTCGATGAGACGAACACAGTGGTGGCCGAAATTTTTAAATCGGACCATAAACAAAGATTCTACAGGGTACGGGGACTAAAATTAACGTTTAAAGTGACCTTGACCTTGACCTATGACCTTGACCTCGGATTTTTTCGAATGTGCTACTGCTTCTCGATGAGACGAACACAGTGGGGGCCGAAATTTTCAAATCGGACCATAAACAAAGATTCTACAGGGTACGGGGACTAAAATTAACGTTTAAAGTGACCTTGACCTTAACCTATGACCTTGACCTCGAATTTTTTCGTATGTGCTACTGCTTCTCGATGAGACGAACACAATGGTGGCCGAAATTTTCAAATCGGACCATAAACAAAGATTCTACAGGGTACGGGGACTAAAATTAACGTTTAAAGTGACCTTGACCTTGACCTATGACCTTAACCTCGGATTTTTTCAAATGTGCTACTGCTTCTCGATGAGACGAACACAGTGGAGGCCGAAATTTTGAAATCGGACCATAAACAAAGATTCTACAGGGTACGGGGACTAAAATTAACGTTTAAAGTGACCTTGACCTTGACCTATGACCTTGACCTCGGATTTTTTCAAATGTGCTACTGCTTCTCAATGAGACGAACACAGTGGTGGCCGAAATTTTCCGATAGCTCGAAAAATGAAGATTTTATAGGGTACGGCGATTTTTAAAGTGACCTTGACCTTGACCTATGACCTTGACCTCGGATTTTTTTTTAATGTGCTACTGCTTCTCGACGAGACGAACACACTGGTGGTCGATTTTTTCAAATCGGACCATAAACAAAGATTCTACAGGGTACGCAGTATTTTGACCTCTCAAGGTCAAACGGTTTGACCTAGGAAAAAAAGGTCACCATTTTCGAACTCAGCGTGCCATGGGCTATCTGTATGCCAATTTTGAGCGAAATCATTACTCGAATTTGAATCCGAATACGAATACGACGCTAACTTTATGGACATCTAAGACTTGAAATTTTGTGCGAAGGTTTCAAATTGATGCCCGGTAAGGTACTAAAAATTTGGCGGCGCTGCGCGCCGCCGTTTTTCGCTTTTCAAGAAAACCCACATGGGGGCCAAAATGACCTCCAATCAGGGCGCGGATTAACCTCTCTCTTTAGAAAGGCGTTACTTAAAGGGACCCTCCCACCTTAACATTAGTTTTGAGTTGAGATAGCCAAGTTTGCGGCCAGGCTCAGAAACCACCATTTATCCTGGTCGCAACCCCCGCAGCTTTATGGTGTTCAAGAAATTTCTTCCCTTTACTTGCAGGGTGGGACCAGCGTGGTCCCTATCTCTTAACCATTACGGGAATCTGATGACGTCATCAGGCTTTCGAACGTCCGTTAAATGTTTGACTAAAACGTTTTGTAGCACGCGGTGGTATATGCTGCTTTGCGCGCAACAAATGCCGCACTTTCAAATAAAGTCGCTAGGAACAGCGGAGATCCCAAAAAGTAAACAAAAGTAAAAGTCTAATATCTTGAAAACCGGTGAATATTTTTCGATGAAATTTGGTAGATATTCGTTTTTGCTCTTTCTGAACTGAGCGACATCACTTTCATGCCAATTCATTAACTTTTTTGAAGGTGGGAGGGTCCCTTTAATGTTTGGCCGGGGTATACCTACTAGTTATTGATACCACTGATAGGTTGATACTACTGATTGGCATTTGCAAGGGCGCAGTCAAGTTGGGACCTCCCCCGCCCCTTACAGCCATGGTAGGTGCGTATATTTTTTAGCAAAATTATTTTTTGGCAACCTTCCAAAATAAAGTGGCTGAAACCCGAGGAAAGAATAGGATTTGGGGGTAGGTAAGGTTCTGCGGGCTCCATCCTAACGAAAAACCTAATGGTATTGCCGCCCACCCCCCTTTCAGATGCCCCTGGATCCGCCTTTGCCCCGAACTTTATTCCCCCTCTCAACTTTTCCTGTAAAAGTAACCCTGGCTATAGCCAGTTGATGAATAACGGAATAAGTGTTGGCTGATAAGTCAATACAATGAACATAACCTACTCATAAAAAGTAGTGACAGTTAGATCCTAACAATAACAGCACGTATTTACTTCAGCTTTGGAATTTGTGCACTGGTACGTGATGTGATTCTATAATAAAGTTTTAGTGAGCAGAGCCAGAAACTGCTATTGACTTCCCTTCACATATGGCAGCATTTTCCGATCAGGCTGAAGATGATATTACAATTTGACGAAGGAGCATAATCTTCGCAGTTTTGGTTGCCCCTAAGTTACAAGCCTTTAGGCTAAATACTAGATACCGTTGGTCACGTGATAACACATTATTTAGTTTGATTTTTAGTATTTTATGTGAAATAAGTGATCTATATTTCCTTAAACCTACCTTATTTGTAATAATAAGGACATATTGTAAATATCTAACACAAATAATCCATTGTATTTTGATTTATATGACAAATTGAGGCTGAGCAGTTGCATTTGTAAACCACACTACGGACTGGATGGGATCTGCCTCATTGCGCGTATTAGATGCAACCGAGACCCAAGGCGGTGGTGATTCAGTGGACACAAACAACTTCTTAAGTTATTCCACAGTTCCACAGGTTATATGGCCTTGCCACAGTTATTCGTATCTCCTACATCATATCGGTGTGTAGTTGATCGGTGTACATACATTGAAATTATTCAAAATTTCATTTAAACTGAGCCCTGAGGTACGATTGAAGCACCTGGAGTTAGATTAGAAGCCACTGGTTAAGCATTGTTTTGGGACAGCAATTCAAATTTGTGAAATTATAATTCACTATAGTGTGTTCCGTCTGTTCCATATTAAGGTTAGGTTAGGTTAGGTATATACGGAAAAGAAAGGTCCTGAGGGACCTGGGTGATTTCCGATCAGTGGCATTTCAATGTCTTCTTAGTTCCGTCTTGTTCTCGGTGACTTCGTTTCCTACTCGTCAAGCGTCTTCTTCACTGCCTTGGTCTCAGTTCGTAGACTCGGTGCGCCCAGAACTTGTCAAGTCGATTCTTGAAGGCGTTGACGCTTGGGGCAGATACAACGTCCGCTGGGAGTCCATTCCAGGCCGAGATGACGCGCGAACAGAAGGAGACTTGACGCAACTGGGTGTTGACTCTGGGCTGTCTCAGTTTCAGACCGTGGTTCCTCGTTCTCTGGGACGGTTCTCGTTCCAGCAGGTCACCAGCTGTCACCTTCAGGCGTCCCGTCAACATCAGATACACTGTGATGACATCACCCGTCAGCCTCCTGTAGTACATGCTGGGGAGCTTCAGTTCCCTGAGCCTGTCCTGGTACTCGAGATGTCGCACGGAGTGGACGAACCTTGTCGCTCTCCTCTGCACCCTCTCCACGGCGTCTTGATCACCTCTGGACGTCGGTCCCCAGACTGAGTTGGCATATTCTAGATGGGGCCTCACCATGGTCTTGAAGAGGATGGGCAGTGTAGTCTTGTCCAGTGACAGGAATGTGCGCTTGATGAGTCCAAGAATCCTGTTGGCGCGTCCCACTGCTGCTGCTGTCTGCTCATGGAACTTGAGGGTATCATCAACGAGCACCCCGAGGTCCTTCTCCTTGACAATGGTCAGCTCAGTCTCGGCCATCCGGTACTCGAAACCAGGGTTTGTGCTCCCCAAGTGCATGACTTTGCACTTACTCCTATTAAAGGGGAGCTGCCACACAGCTGACCAAGCCTCCAGTGCTGATATGTCGTCCTGGAGAAGACCTCTGTCAATGTCACTGGACACCCTCCTGTACACCTTGGCGTCATCTGCGAACAGCTTGACGGTGCTGCTGATGGCGTGCGGTAGGTCATTGATAAATAACAGGAATAAGACAGGTCCCAGGACAGACCCCTGCGGGATCCCGCTGATGACATCAGTCCACTCTGAGAAGTGTCCCTCAACAGCAACACGCTCAGCGTTAAGCTCAGCGTTCAAGTTCCTTCATCAGTGACCATCAGCAAATTCTACATTAAATAATTTGTGGCAGTGTCTATAAATGTCAGAGCTATGCTTACATATAAGTGCCATTTATGTGTTTTGTTTATGTCCATATACTACTGTGTTTATATTAATAAATGCCACAGCTATCGTACGTTACTAGCTGGCCAGCCACCTGATTTTATACATTTGTTAGTTAGGCCCAGTATCTGCCTCTGCGGACCTCCCCCAGCCACGGCATATCGTCACTTGAAGTCTCAGGCCTCTAGCGACTTCATCCTTGCTTGCTTTTGCTATGTCTGTCTTAAAGATAATGGTAAGGTTAGGTGAGGTATATTCTGTTCTTTATCTACTCGGGCTTCATATTCACATTCAGGTATCCGTCTTTGTCCCCAGGCCCTTGTTCAATGAGATAATGGTGACTTGGAGTTCCTGTGTGCTGCATCACTCCAGTTCAGCGTCCTGAGCTGCTGATCACAGATTTAAGACCAGCAGACAACAGGAGCAGTGACTGAGGCAGTCCCAGCGGCATGCTGCTGTGCAAGACACTGTTGCGCAAGGGCAGGCATTGCTGCGGTCTGCGCCTGTTGCGATGTGCTGTGACGATTGTTGCAGTAGTAGCACTTGTCATGGTGTTGTACTCTGCCTACTATCTGGGCCAGGCACACGTCATGTGAGTATCTTGGATTTTTGTGTTGTCTTCCTGTTTGTCATGTCATTCCTCTTTCCACCACAACCTTGCTTAATGAATTATAGTCTACTAATAATTTTGATGTATGGTGATTAACTGAGTAGGTACCTACATCATTTTGCAATAAATAGGTATGCTTGCTGTATCATTACATTGAACATATTAGGGTTGAAGAGGAAGTCATGTTTCACTGAACACTGTAAATGCTAATTTTGATGTGAAAATGATCAATAACATGTCTCTTTTGTTTCTCTTTGGTAAACTAAGGAACCAATACAATTTTTGGCATGTTATTGATCATTTTCACATCAATTTTGACTATAATGTCTTCACTCATGCCAACCATCCAAACGATTAAAATGCTAATTTTCACAGGCTGTTCACTAAGTTGTGAAATGAATTTTCATTTGTGATATGACCTGGATGTTCATTCTTCTCTAAACTTTGCATATTTTGTTCAACACACATTACAAATACAGTCCCAGTACTAATTCAAGATATTTTTTTACTGGGAAATGTTTTGATTCATTTCCTTTTTCTAACTATATTTCAGGTGGCTTTGTATTTCATGTATTTCAGGTGGCTTTGTTTGACTGAAATGTTCCATTCCAATGTCAGTGTTCCTTATCATAAACTCATGCAGACACATCACAACGCATGTGTACAGACACAGCACACCCTGCATGCTGACCAAGCTCCCTCCTTTCGCCCGCAGTCAGGCGATGCACCATCAGCCGCCGACAGTCCGCGTCACTTGCGGCGCACCGCCAGCAAACGGCGCCGCCTCTGCCGACGATGACGCACGTCACCGCTCGGCCGCCCGACTCCGGCTGGAGCCCAAAGTGCTTCTCTTCCTCGAGTCGCAGTACTCTGCCCGCGCCAAGGAGCTGAGCACCCTGCTGACGGCCAGTGGCATCCGCTACAAGATAGTGACGTCGGCCGCCCTGCCGACGTTCACTGCCGGCGGCCGCGGTCGGTACGGCGCTCTGCTGTTCGAGTCGTACGAACGCTACCTGGCCATGGACGCGTGGAGCCGGGCGATCGTGGACCGCTACTGCACCGACTTCGACGTCGGTATCGCGGCGTTCATGCCGGCTCGTGAGGAGAGCCTGCACGGTGCCACGCTGCCGGGCTCGGCGCTGCGCATTCACACTAACCTGGCGCTGCGGGACGCGCGACTGGATCCCGAGTCGCCGGTGCTGCGTATGGCGCGCGCCGGTGAGACGCTGTGGGGTGCCGTGCCTGGCGAGGCACATACAGTGTTTGTGCACAACCATACATCGTATCGTCCAGTGATGATGGCAGAACTGGGCGGGCCAGAGCTGGCCGCCGGTCGCCTACAGGGCGCGCCGCTCACAGTGGTGGTACAGGACTGCGGCTACCACGACGGTATCAGACGCGTGCTGTTCGGTGTCAGTCCGATGTTCTGGCTGAGTAAGCTGCTGTTGCTGGACGCGTTGTCGTACCTCTCGCACGGCCGGCTGGCAGGGGACCTGGAGCGACGCATTCTGGTCGACGTGGACGACATTTTCGTCGGCAAAGCGGGAACCCGGATGAAGCCGGCTGACGTGGAGGCGATGCTGGCCAGTCAGGAGCGGCTGCGCAGTCTGGTTCCTGGCTTCACTTTCAACCTCGGCTTCTGCGGCAAGATGCTGCACTCTGGCACAGATGAGGAAGACGCCGGCGACGATGCGCTGCTGGCGGCCGCCGACAAGTTCTGGTGGTTCCCTCACATCTGGAGCCACAAGCAGCCGCACACCTTCGCCAACCGGACCGCCATCGCCGAACAGATGGCGCTCAACAAGGCGTTCTCCGCCAAACACGGCATTCCCGTGCTGCACCAGTACGCCGTGGCGCCGCACCACAGCGGCGTCTACCCCGTCAGCGACCAGCTGTACGAGGCGTGGCGCGAGGTGTGGGATGTGCGACAGACGTCCACCGAGGAATACCCGCACCTGTACCCCGCCGGCCAGCGGCGAGGCTTCGTCTACCGCGACGTGCGCGTGCTGCCCCGACAGACGTGCGGCCTCTTCACGCACACCATTATGATAGACGAGTACCCGGGAGGACGACAGGTACTCGAGGACAAAATTCGCGGCGGTGAACTGTTTCAGACGATCGTCACCAATGCGATCTCGGTGTTCATGACACATCTGAGTAACTACGGTAACGACCGCCTGGCGCTGTACGCGTTCGAGTCGGTGGTGCGTTTCGTGCAGTGCTGGACGCGGTTGCGGCTGCAGACGGAGCCGCCCGACCGGCTGGCCGACCTTTACTTCCAGCGCTTCCCGGAACAACGTGACCCGGTGTGGGGCGTAAGTAGAAGTCGGGTTAGGACACTTAACATATTGACTACAGGACATTCCTCTCAGGCTTCATTTTGCTGAGGTGCTGTAATGGTCGGTGTTGTTTTATTAATTTATGTCGAGAATGCTGGGTATTTTACACCATTGCTTTATGTCATCATGATAAGGTGTAGTTTTGCAAATGCTGCGAGCTTTATTGCAGTTTGCGTCCGAGGAATTGGTTCAACAAGCATAATGCTGCAGCGGTTCGCGTTTTAACACCACACCCAGCCTGTTGATTGTGTCACTGGTCATTTTGCTCATCAGGTCCACTTACGAAGTACCTAATACCTCTTTAATTAGCGTTTTGAGTAAGACACGCAGAGTATCAGTAAATTCAGGTAAAGCGTAAAGCACCTTGCTGTATATTCCTAGTTTTCAGTGTGTACTTAACTATCACGTTAGCTGTCTTTGCCAGGCATTTGATGTAAGTCATCTCTTCCCGGTTACCTCGTCCCCTTTTTTAACGATCACGTTGCCTGTTGTAGATCAGCGATCACGTCGTCACGCGTTCGTTGAGCTTCCCCACCTAACCGCCTCTCTTTCTGCCACAGAACCCGTGCAAGGACCAGCGCCACCTGAATCTGTGGCGTCTGGCGGGCAACGCGTCCGTATGTGATCGGTTCCCGAAGCTGCTGATCCTGGGACCGCAGAAGACGGGCAGCACGGCGCTGCTGAGCTTCCTCAGCCTGCACCCGACGCTGCGGGCCAGCCTGCCGAGCCCGCAGACATTCGAGGAGGTGCAGTTCTTCAACGGTGACAACTACCTGCGAGGGATTGATTGGTGAGTTTGTGGGGAGGTGAAAAGGGAGAGTCGCAGCTAGGGGATATATTTGGACTGCTGGAGAGGGAGAGGCAGGGGAACAAGGAGAGTGAACAAGGATGAAGGTTTGATTAGGACGTAAATTAGTGTTTAAGCGTTAGTAGTCGTAGAGGAGTTACGTGAAAAAAGGAATTTATCAGATAAAGTCATGCAGTACGTCTGCGGTTTTTCGAAATAGCGTTATCAAAACTGTATAAGTATATCGAACTGTCACTAGATTTATCCTTTTGCGGTTTGCTATGAGGAAGGTTGGGTGCTGACCATTGACACATCGTGACCTTGGATATGGCCATTGTATAAAACTAGGTGCCGCATTTTCCTCGTGAAATTTGGATGGTGTGCGGATAATATGTGAAAAGGTCATGAACCTCTACATAAAGATGTGAATGTCCCTACTTTCTATTTTGATTGCACGCCTTATTTGGTTGCATACAATTTTGAGCCATGCTATTATGCTGTAGGTACATGATGTAGTAACTGATACGATTTCTCAATTTTTATGTCTGGCAGATAGACAATGGTTCATATGTGTACAAATATAGTTCAATTGTTATCAATGAACTGCTTCCTAGTTTCCTGTGAGGTATTTCCTGTGTTGCATGACGCATGGCAACGCTCTGAACCTCTCCGCCCGTCCTGACGTACGTCTCTTTCGGGCAGGTACCTGGAGTTTTTCCCGGTGCCCAACAGCGACTCATCGGTGTACCTCTTTGAAAAGAGCGCCACTTACTTCGATGGCGATGCCGTACCCAAACGAGTGTTTGCTCTCCTGCCGAAAGCCAAACTGGTGAGTGAAAACTCGGCCGCGAATCGCAATGGTTGGGTCGGGCGAGGGTTCTTATGGTCTGGGGAGTGCTAGGGGTATCCGACAAGTCAAGGCCATTTTAATTTCGCATGCGTCCAATGTCCTTGTTGATTAATTAGGTTGTTGGTGATTTTTAGGGGCGTATGTACTCGTTTTGCGCAATACCAGTTAATGGGACGGAACATATGCTGCTACTGTTTGCTTGCATCGACAAGCGGCAGCTGATCCACTCAAAGCAGAAAAGTAGACGCCGTATTGTAGACGTGGATAGCTCTCTCAGCCACTCTCATGTTTCAGCGCTTTCCCTAATCCCTAATTAGTGCATGGAATTTTAAACTTTCAAAACAGACGTAAGTTAACCACCAGGAATTGCTGCCATGATAACGTCTGTGACGGAGGGTTTTACTGGAGGTGCCGAAGTGATATCGCTCTCTTTGAAATCTCTTGCTGGGTAAACTCGGTGAAATAGCATCTGTTGATGTTGTCAAATCCCTTTCATCCTGCACTGCTGCAGGCTGTTGCTATCTTTGGGCTCTTGTGATAGACTTAGAACCTGCTGGTTCTACAACAAATTGCCAGGCTCAGTCGGCCGGAAGGCATCACGGGCAATGAGTATACTCGTTGCGGCTTCGCCCCGTTTCCCTCCCGCTTTGTTCCATCAAACGCACATTTATTGTGCTGGCCTGTTATTCACCGCCGCAAGGCGGTGAATAACCACGTCAGTAGTATGGTATTTTTTATTGTGTTATCGATGCAAGAACAAAGATGAGCTAACCCAAACACATTCAAATGGTCTTAATTCCTAGCTCTTAGGGCATCTTATCAGTTTGACCTTCCGCACTAAAGGTCAGCTTAGTTATGGTGATGGTGGTGCCTGTAAAACTGCCCGTAATCCCTGACACCGAACGCCTCCCGGTGCTCCCCTCTGGCGCCTGCCGCCGGCTGACTGTAGTTCGGTTCGTGGCCGCCAGGTGGTGATCCTGCTGAGCCCGGCGGCGCGGGCGTACAGCTGGTACCAGCACCAGCGCGCTCACGGGTTACCGGTGGCGCTGGAGCACTCATTTCTGGAGGTGATCACAGCCACCAACCAGTCGACGAGGGCGCTGCGGCAGCTGCGGAACCGCTGTTTGGAGCCGGGGAAATACGCGGCTCACCTGGAGGCGTGGCTGCGCTACTTCCCTGCTGAGCAGCTGCACCTGGCGGACGGCGAGCGGCTGCGTACCGACCCCGTCACCGAGCTGCACCGGCTGCAGGACTTCATACAGGTGAGTCGCTCGGGGTACAGGGTAGTCAGGATAGTCAGCCAGTCACTGGCGACAGGACTTCATACTGGTGAGTAACTGACTGCAGGGTGGTCAATAACAGGCTGCTAGACTTCCTATGAGTCTAAAAACGGCGAAGCGAGGCACCAAACATTTTTATGCAATGATATCTATGAAAAGCGGGCGCCGAATGCCGATCACCCCACTGCTCGCTCAGGGCATGCATGCTTCTGCGTTCTTTTCCCCGTGCTGTTCGTCTGCCGGTCCGTGACGTGTTTTTTTTCTTACCGCCTCATCTCATCAGCTTATTGTCATGCCTGCATTGTGTTGCTTTCACGGTAAAGCTAGTACACAATGTGGTAATCGTTTATGATCGAATATCAGTTCTGTCACAGCTAACACCAGCCCATGATATACCTGGCCACCGTCCTGACTCTGATTTCTTTACAGGTGTCTCCCCGGGTCAACTTCACTAAACTGATCACCTACGACGCCGAGAAGGGCTTCTACTGCCAGCGCGTTCCATCCGGCTCGGGCGGCGGTAGTCGCACTCGCTGTCTCGGCGGCGGCAAAGGCCGAAAATACGACCCAATGTCCGACGACGAGGAACGAGTCCTCAAGAAATACTTCTTTATCTTCAACCAGAGGCTGAGCAAGCTGCTGAAACGGATCGGGAAGCCGGTGCCGGACTGGCTGGTCAGAGAGCTGACGGATGTGCCGGCGACAGGGTGACGTGGGGAGGGACCAGGGGTTATGCTGGGGGCGGGGGAGGGTATCACGGGTTATAGGGAGGGTGGGGTGCGGAGGGAAGGGAAAGGATGGTTATGACGGGTAGGGGGTGGGGTAGGTTTATGTGGTGATAATGACCTGTTAGGTTTGACTGAGTTTCTGATGTGACTGACCAACCGACTGACTGACTGAATGACTGATCGATGTTTTTAAATGACTGCACAGAAGGAATGACAGGGCAGACTGCTGAATTTTCTAGTTGATTTTCTGCATGTTCGACTGACTGCATGACTATCCTAACCTACTGATGTCGTGGTTCGCGACCTGGGATATTCTCTCATATCCCTTGAGATGAGGTCTACCCTAAGCAGACCACTAGATGTACCTATTAACCCTGACTGAGATATTCTGTGATCTCTCGTGAAGCATTAATCTGTGAGAAGACTAGGATGACGCTTTACCTAATGAGCATTACGTAACCACTTATCAATGGTATGGGAGGTATTTATCAGTACCTGATCCGAGTATTGGTTCTTGGCAGCACAGATATTATAAATGAGAATCTATGCATCACAGATGTCCCAACGCCCTATCGCAGGCCCCAAGTTGACGGCGATTGAGACACCACTTGGGAAATGCCCGGGAGCGTAGCATGTTTACTCTTGTGATTTCGCTTGTTTTGAGAAATGTTTTGTTGCTTTTAAAGTAACTGATCATGAATTCATGAGCTTCTACTCAAACTGCAGTCAGTGGTCTTGCTCGTTCCCACCTGGAGATATTTAAAACATAGCTTTTCAAAATTGCATGTGGATGAATTTTCGGATGTAGGCAAGATGTGCATGAAAATGTGCATGCAAATACCATAGCCTTAAAGGGTGCTTACATATTATAGCAAGTAACAAAGTTTTCTAGAAAATTACTTTGAAACATACTAATGTCATGAGTTAATTTCCAACTTGATTTCTGAAACCACATTAAGTTTCTTGTTTACCTGCATATTATATTTACCTGCATATTATAAAATTCGCGTCAGTCGGTATTGCAGAATGCCCAATCAAATGTATGTTGTAAATTATAGATTACGCTGGCTCTAGGCCCTCTAGGCTCGGCAGCTTAAGTAAAGCTAACTTCTAAACGCCACCATGTGGCTCTACTGACATTATGAAGACATCCCGGCATGTCTGACCTGATATATTGTGGCTGTCTGTTGAAATAACTGATTGGGTGGATCATTCAGAAGTGCTGCAGCTCTGGCCTCTGGCATTATTCCAGATCTGGCGCCTCAAATCGTTTGCTGCTTTCACCGAGAGCGCCAAGCTCTGTTTTCGTCATTAATAGTCGTTATTATATCTTTAAGTAAGGTATAACCATCGGTGAGCGCTTTGGTGGATGTCTGGTGCCATTTAGTTCCGTGTCCAGTTGCGTGCTATGTACGCCGGGCAGTGTGTAGGGAACCAGCCTCTCCGTAGTCTGAAGATAGTGCGGCCTTGGGCGACCAACTGGTGCTAAGTAGAGCTGTTAGGCGGCATGGAGGGGATAGCAGTCGTTCCCACTTCCTCTGCCTATCGACACCGACTCGCTCTCGTGCGTCGGGGCGTCTCATGCGCGCCCTCTATGTAACCGAACAGATGGTTCGGCAGCCATGTTTTTTATACGACCTTCCCGAGGTTGCTAGAGCTCGAGAGTGATAACGCTGGACCAGAAAGGAGCCCGATCGATCAGAGCGATCGGAGTGGCGGCCTGCATGAAGCAAGTCGCGAGCCATTAACTACACCACAGTCTTTGTTTGGACTGGATACGTGTCTGTGGGTTTATTCCCTCTTTATAAAGCTTTTAAAGGGACTGTCCCACCTTAACATTAGATTTGAGTTGAGATAGCCATCTTGATGGACGTTCTTTGAAAATCAGTGCCGTGAAAACCGTTTCTCCAGCAATTACTTCATCGCAAAGAAATTTGAGTTTGATTTTGACATCTGTGCAAATAAGTGCCACAATGTATTGGTATAGGCACTTAAATCTGATGACGTCATCAGGCTTTCGAACGTCCGTTAAATGTTTGACTAAAACGTTTTGTAGCACGCGGTGGAATATGCTGCGTTGCGCGCAACAAATGCCGCACTTTTAAATAAAGTCGCTAGGAACAGCGGAGATCCCAAAAAGTAAACAAAAGTAAAAGTCTAATATCTTGAAAACCGGTGAATATTTTTCGGTGAAATTTGGTAGATATTCGTTTTCGCTCTTTCTGAACCGAGCGACATCACTTTCATGCCAATTCATAAACTTTTTTAAAGGTGGGAGGGTCCCTTTAAGCCAATTGCTTGCCAATGGCGGAGACTGTTTCGTTCTTGCGGTAATCAGGCTGCTTTTTGTAGTTGACATAATGAATCTTTGGCAGCAATGTCAAATTGATTTACTAGGTGTTTGTTCTGACTCGGCTTAACGCTGGGTACTTAAGTCTTCCTTTGGACGAATCTTCTACGTCGTGTTCGAAAAATATGTGTTGTAATAATTGAGCTAATAAGTGAGTGAGTTGGTGAAAATGGGAGTCAGCGAGTGACTGACGGGGAGTGTTAGCAAGGATTTGTAAAGGATTATGGTGTTTCGTGTACTTTGATCGGCGGTTAATCAATGTCATATTGTAGACTGACAACCGTTTCCCTTGTTGAACTTTCTTCTCGGTGTCCAGACTTTTCATCAGTAAACTCTGTAAGCCGGACGGTCACCGAAAGGATCTGGTGATGGTTGCTATGCCGACGAGGATGGATGTTTCTTTGTACGATATCGCCATGACCTGTCAGGCCAGGTCAGCCTGGATTAGGTCGTCACTTTTGGTGTATTGATGTTTTCACAGTGTTCTTACACGTGTTTTCTTACCGAGTACCGGTCGAGCTAATTCTTGCTATTGCTATCGAAATAGAGGGCGGTTTAAGTCTGACTGAGGTTGTGCGCTATTATCGCAGCAGCAAGCCGCCGCGCTGCCTAATGATTGGTCCTGTGACGTCATGAATGTCGCGATAGGTCGTATGACGTCATAAATATCGTGATTTGGTTTTATGATGTCATAAATGTTGCGGCCGTCACACTGTGTGTGACGTCGCGTGTTTTGGCCCGGAGGTGTGCCGAGGGCGAGCTGAGCAATACGAAGTGTGGAGTATCTAATACAGACTCACTGCCATTGTGCCATGTGCTGGGGAATGGAGGTGACGGGGACGGGACTGACTGTTGGGTTGGCTGTTGAGAGGACCGCTTGAAACGCGTTGTGCTGCTGGAAAGATGGGTGGGATATAAGGAAAGCCGAAAGGATGATTGGAACCGTACGCTGAAGAGCCTTGGCATGTGTTCTTTACCCGCGCCCTGCTGGGGGGTGTTTGCACACACCCCTGCGGTTTTTCGCGAATATCTAAAAAAAAAATGGCACACCTTATCATACATCTTTTCTACATATGTTGTAAAAATTTCAAACCCAGGTCACTTACGGTCAGGTCACCAGGTCAGGTCAAGTGACCTCACTACATAAAAAGTTTCAATGTCTGTCATATCTACACCGAGTGACCGATCGCTTTGAAACTTTCAGGGATTGATAAGAGCAACAGTATGTACAAAATTTATATCTTGGAATTTTGCTATCGGACCTGACCTTCCCCATCATACCCAAGTCAATGGGAAAAAATTGAAAGTCACCTCTTTTAGACGAAAGTCATTTTAAACACTCGAAAATACTGATCATGACTAGTAAATTTGACACTGAAAATGAAAATGTCACCCGTGAGCGCTTTTCACGCCCCTGAGGCCATCTCCGGTCACCAATGGTATCCGACAGTTTTTCGCGAAGAACTTTTGATAGAGGCATGCTAGAGCGATGACAACAATTTAGCTGTGTTTGTCTCGACGATACGGATCGACTGATGCAACTTGACCCTTACCGGTCAGGTTCAGGTCATGACCTTGCCAAAGGTCAAATTTTCAAGTTGATCTTTCACAGGGGCGCGGGAACTACGTTCAGACTGGGGGGGGGGGGGGCACACCATAATAGAGATCAACCTAGGGTACCCCCAAATCTAGTTTTCCTCACCGGTTTTAGACCACTTATTTTTCATCCCTTGGCTTTTTCAACAAAAAAGAAAACATTTGCAAAAAAAGTGTGGTATTCCGTCTCAAAGCTGTGGGGGCATCGCCCCCACGGCCCCAGAGTTGGAGGGGGGGGGGGCAAGCTGCCCCCACTGCCCCCGGCTCCCGCGCCTATGACCTTTCAGGGTCAAATGATAGTTCATTCGATGCGTCTTGACGAGAGGAATACGATGCTGGTAAAAGAAAATTCGTGCAAGGGTTGAGTCAAAAGTTATTGCCGGAAACCTTTCCAAAAAAATCGGCTGTTTTTGGCAGCTTTTGCCCCCTGCAGCCTGCAGGCAAAACCGTTGATGGTAGATCAAATCCGAGGGAATTTACGCAGAAAAAGCGTTAATCGGGCTATCAAATGCACTTTTCCGCGGTGCTGTAGCTTTATTAGTTTCCGAAATCCGAGCTGTGCGTCGATTTGTTGAAAATTGTCGAAATGCCGCCTTTCTCGTATCGCTACGTGGCCCAGGAGCCGAGTTAGAGGGGATGTTCACTGTTCAAACACCCCATTCCCCAGCAGGGCGTGGAAATCCAGGACCCCCAGCGGGGCGCGGGTTAACCCATGAGCCACTGGGGGGGGGGGTATAAAGTTGCCCCCCCCCCCTTTACGTTTTGTTGAATATCTCCGAAACCTGAAGAGCTACGAGCGTGAAACTTGGCATAGCGTCAAATGAATGCCTAGGCAATGTTTAAGGAAAGTTTGGTGGTTGTAGCACAAGATGACGTCACAGTGACGTCATAAAGTTTTGTGTTTTTCCTATTTGGACCATTTCTGATGTCGCTGAGCATGAAACTCAACTGTAAATGAACAAGACAGCACCTGCTGTCATCCTAAAACATGTAAGTACACTTTCAGCTAGTTCCTGACCAATAATAGGTCCTTTATAGTCGATCTCATATATCGGATATCGTGAGGGAACTGAGAGTCGCAAATCTATAATTTGACTTCTGACGTCACTGCGACGTCATTTCAAATGGGATCAACACCAAATTTAGACACAACCCCGGCTAGTTATTCAGGAAGATGTGTGCAAAGTTTCGCTTCTCTATCTCTTCGCGTTGCGACGATATCGTCGCAGAAGTAAAGGGGGCAACTACATATATGCCCCCCCCCCAGCGGCCGGCGGGTGGCGCGGAGGCCCAGCGGCCGCCGGGTTAAACCCGTTCTGCTCCCTCTTCTCGTCCCTAACTCTCTAACCTCTCTCTCTCTCTATCTCTCTCTCTCTCTCTCTCTCTCTCTCTCCTCTCTCTCTCTCTCTCTCTCTCTCTCTCTCTCTCTCTCTCTCTCTCTCTCTCTCGCTCCTCTCTCCCCTCTCTCTCCCTCTCTCTCTCCATCTCTCTTCCCCCTCTCTCTCTCGACTCTCTCTCCCCTCTCTCTC